AGCTGGAACTCGAACCAGCACCGATATGGGATGCCAGCACTGCAGGTGGCGGCTTTACCCACTATGCCACAGCACCTGCCCCAACACCTGACTTGTTTCAGTTAACATTGTGACCTCTGGTTCCTTAAATGTTGCCACAAATGACAAAATTCTTTCTTTTTAAGACCAACTGCTATTCCATTATGTATGTATACCACAATCTATTTATCCAATCTAGCTTGATTCCATACATTGGCTATTGTGAACAGTTCTTCAGTAATCATTTTAGTGCAGATATCCCTTTGACATGCTACTTTTAAATCCTTTGGCTATACACCCAGGAATGGAATTGTTGTATCCCTTCTTAATAGTATTTCTAGTTTTTGGGTGAAACTCTACAATTTTCTGTAATGACTCTGTAATTGAAATCTTATCAACAGTGTATTAGATTTCTTTCTCCATATCCATATCAGCATTTGCTGTTTTTTGTCTTTCTGATTAAAACCATTCTAACTGGAGAGAGATACCACATGATCATACTGATGTACATTTCTGAGGATTAAAGATTTTGAGAAAATCTGCATGTACCTGTTGGACCTTTGCATATCTTCTTTAGAGATATGTCTAATACAGGTGACTTCTTCATTTTTTCATTGTATTTTTTCTGTTGATTTAGTTTCTAGCATATTCTGGATATTAATCTCTTTTTTGGTTAAACAGTTTGCCAATGTCTTCTTCAATTCTGTTGGTGGCCTCTTAATTCTGTTGACTGTGCATAAGCTTGTTAGTTTGATATAATTCCATTTGTCCGTTTTTGCTTTTGTTGCCTGTTGTTTGAGGGTTGTATCCAAACAATCTTTGCCCAGACCAGTGTCCTCAAGCACTTATCCTAGGTTTGCTTCAAGCAGTTGCACAGTTTCAGATCTTACATTTATGACTTTGTTCCTTCTTTGACTTGAGTGTTGCAGATGGTGAGAAATGTGTGTGTGTGTGTGTGTGTGGGTAGGGGGTGTCCTTGTTTCATAGTATTGTATGTGGATATCCAATTTGTCCAGAACAAATTACTGAAGAATTTTTTGTACAATGTGTGTTCTTGCTGCCTTCATTCACTGTTCTGTTTCATTGATCTATGTGTTGCTTTTTATGCCACAATTATGCTCTTTTGTTTACTTTTACTTTGCCATATGTTTTGACGTCAGTTATTATAAAATCTCCTGCTTTGTTCTTTTTGCCCAGAATTGGTTTGACTACTTGTGGTCTTTTAGTAAGGTGTTTTCAATTTCTGTGAAGAATGTCATTATTATCTTCATGGATATTGCATTGAATCTTTAGATTAATTTGGGTATAATGGGAATGGGCATTTTGGCAATAATAATTCTTCGAATTCACAAACATGGAATGTCTCTCCAATGTCTTCCTTCAGTGCTTTGTAATTTTCACTGTAGAGACCATTTACTTCCTTAAATTTATTTCTGATATTTAATTTTAGCTTATGTAGTTATTGTGAAAGTGTTTGCTTTGTTGATTTCTTTCTCAGCAATTTCTTTATCAGAGTATAAAAAAGCCACTGAATTTTGTACATAAATTTTGTTTCCTGCTACCTTATGAAATTTATTCATCAGATCTGTCTTTTGTTGGAGCCTTTTTTTTCTATGTGCAAATCATGTCATCTGCAGTGAATAATTTGTTCTTTATTCTGATTTGCTTGTGCTTAATTTCTCTTGTCTTCCTGCTCAAGGATATGCAATATGATATTGGCTAAAAGTGGTGAATGTGAACACCCTTGACTTCTTCATTATCTTAGAGGAAATAATTTCAGTCTTTCCTTCTTTAGTATGATGTTGGCTATGGGTTCCCATAGGTAGCCTTTATCGTTTTAAGGTGTGTTTTTTCTACACCTAATATTTTTAAGCTTTTTCCCCAAAAAGTATTCATCTTTTGAGTTCTCACGTATTTTTGGATGATTCATATTGTCTGTGTTAATATGATGTATTGCATTTAGTGATTTGCATATGGCAGATAGCTGTTGTATCACTGAAACAAATCCCCCTCGATCGTAGTGTGTAAGTTGGAATTGACTTACTAGTATTTTGTTCAAAATTTTTGCATCTATATTCATCGGGAATATTGGTCTGTAGTGTGTGTGTGTGTGTGTGTGTGTGTGTGTTTGGTTTTGGTAACAGGGTATTTCTGACTTGGCAGGATGAATTTTTAAGGGTTCCTTCCCTTTCAATACTTCAGACTAGTTAGAGAAAAATTGGTGCAGGGCCAATTTTGTTGCACAGCATGCTAAGCCACTGCTTGTGATGCTGTCATCCAGCTGATTCAAGTTCTGGCTGTTCCACTTCTAATCCAGACCCCTGCTTCTGTGCCTAGAAAAAGCAGAGGATGGTCCAAGTATTTGGGACTCTGTCACACACATTGGAGACCTGGATGGAGTTCTGGACTCTGGGTTTTGGCCAAGTCCAGTACCAGCATTTGTGACCATTTAGGTAGTGAAACAAATGGACTATCTCTTTTTTTTTTTTTTTTTTTGACAGGCAGAGTGGACAGTGAGAGAGAGAGACAGAGAGAAAGGTCTTCCTTTGCCGTTGGTTCACCCTCCAATGGCCACCGCAGCCGGCGCACTGCGGCCGGCGCACCGGGCTGATCCGATGGCAGGAGCCAGGTGCTTCTCCTGGTCTCTCGTGGGGTGCAGGGCCCAAGTACTTGGACCATCCTCCACTGCACTCCCTGGCCACAGCAGAGAGCTGCCCTGGAAGAGGGGCAACCGGACAGAATCCGGCGCCCCGACCGGGACTAGAACCCGCTGTGCCAGCTCCGCAAGGTGGAGGATTAGCCTAGTGAGCCGCGGCGCCAGCCAGGACTATCTCTTTCTTTCTATATTTTCCTCTGTCTATTGCTCTGTCTTTTAAACAAATATATCTTTTTAAAAATAGGATAATTAGTGTAAGTTATTTAAAATGTTAATAAAACGAGCAGTGAAGCCATCCAGTTCTGGGCTTTTCTTTGTTGGGAGTCTTTGTTATTGATTCAATCTTGTTACTTGTTACTGGCATTTTCAGGTTTTCTATGTCTTTGTGGCTTAACTTTGGTGAGTTAGATGTGACCACAAATCTATCCATTTTCTTTGGATTTCCCATATACAGCCTATATCTTGTAATTTAAGTAGCACATACTTAGCTGTCTTAGGGATATTAAGGCAGCTGGAAGACAGTGGTATTTTTGTTGTTAATTTTCCCCTTCCACCATATAAAAAATTAGATTTCTTCAGATTATTCTTCATTTAATACCAATATTGGCCGGCGCCACGGCTCACTAGCCTAATCCTCCACCTTGCGGCTCCAGCACAGCGGGTTCTAGTCCCGGTCGGGTAGCCGGATTCTGTCCCGGTTGCCCCTCTTCCAGGCCAGCTCTCTGCTATGGCCCGGGAGTGCAGTGGAGGATGGCCCAAGTCCTTGGGCCCTGCACCCCATGGGAGACCAGGAGAAACACCTGGCTCCTGCCATCGGATCAGCGTGGTGCGCCGGCCACAGCGCGCCAGCCGCGGCGGCCCTTGGAGGGTGAACCAACGACAAAAGGAAGACCTTTCTCTCTGTCTCTCTCTCTCTGAATCCTCAGAATAAGTTCATGAATACTCCCTGACGTGAAACATTTTTATTAAGATTTATTTATATTTAGAGAGAGAGAGAGAGAGATTTTTTTTTTTTGCTTTCAAACTTTTATTTAATGAATATAAATTTCCAAAGTACAGCTTATGGATTACAATGGCTTCCCCCCATAACGTCCCTCCCACCCGCAACCTCCCCTTTCCCACTCCCTCTCCCCTTCCATTCACATCAAGATTCATTTTCATTTCTCTTTATATACAGAAGATCAGTTTAGCATACATTAAGTAAAGATTTCAACAGTTTGCTCCCACACAGAAACATAAAGTGAAAAATACTGTTTGAGTACTAGTTATAGCATTAAATCTCAATGTGCAGCACACTAAGGACAAAGATCCTACATGAGGAGTAAGTGCATTGTGACTACTGTTGTTGACTTAACAAATTGACACTCTTGTTTATGGCATCAGTAATCACCCTAGGCTCTTGTCATGAGCTGCCAAGGCTATGGAAGCCCCCTGAGTTCACTGACTCTGATCATATTTAGACAAGGCATTGTCAAAGTGGAAATTCTCTCCTCCTTTCAGAGAAAGGTACCTCCTTCTTTGATGATCCATTCTTTCCACTGGGATCTCACTCACAGAGATCTTTCATTTAGGTTTTTTTTTTTTTCCCAGAGTGTCTTGGCTTTCCATGCCTGAAATACTCTCATGGGCTTTTCAGCCGGATATGCATGCCTTAAGGGCTGATTCTGAGGCCAGAGTGTTGTTTAGGACATCTGCCATTCTATGGGTGAGAGAGATATTTTTCTGTTCTGCTTCTCTTCCCAAATTCCCACAGCAGCCAGTATTTGGCCAGACCAAGCCTGGAGCCAGAAATACCATTCAGATCTGCAGTGGAGGTTGTTGGATCAAGTACATGAGTCAAAATCTACTTCTTCCCAGAATGTGCAACAGCAGAAAGTTGCACTCTGATATGGGATACTGGTACCCCAGGAAACTGCTTACCCTGTTCACCACCATTTCTTCTCTCCTCAACTGTCTCTATATGGGAATTTCACTCAAATTCTTTGTATTCTAAATCTCTGCATCGAGAGCTCATTTTTAATTTCAATTCCATTTTTTAATCTTTCTCATATTTTTAACTATCCTGTTCTGCTGACTCATGGTGGGCCCAATCTGGAGGGTGGTGGAGGATTCGGGGAGCTCCAGGGAGTCAAGATGTTGCAAGACTGTGTGTCTCCCAGCAGCTCACCCCGAATTTCTGCTCCTGCATGTAGATGTGTTTTCAGAGAGGTCCACATATTCCACTCACACAGGATGTACTTTAATTCTCTTCTCATTCAGGAAGGCTCAGAGCAGGGTGGGCCCGAGCCCTGGGCATCCCCTGCACTGCCTCATGCATCAGACCAACCAGAGGCTGCTTGTGGTCTCTGAGGTCTGTGAGGAGAACTGCCAGCCATGCCGTTGCTGGTTGTGGCCCAGCTCGTGGATGGCTCCCCACAGACCTTTGCTTCTCATTCCTGACTCATTAATGAGCTCCTGCACTGACTCCAGGTGGCACATGATAGGGTATCCTGAGTGCATCCAGCCTAGAGGGCCAGAAGGAAGACACAGGACATGAAAAGTGGGTTCCACCCCAATGCCCTCCATCTGTCACTATTGTAGAACTTTTCCTCTCCATCTTGGATGCCCCCAGTAATTGCAGCATGTCCACACTGATTGGAAAATAGTCTGCTTCCTCGACTTGGGCAGAGCCTGAACAGTACTCACCCCTTCCCAGCCTTCTGCTTTGAGTGACACCCTGCTCCTCAGCCTGGCCCTGAGCATGTGAGTGCACTTCCCCTCTCATCCTTGCTGCAGCTCAGTGCTTCATTTTGCTGTCAGCCTCCTCTTCTGCATGCAGGTCTGTGACATGATGTCCTGTTCCTGGACTAAGATCCTGTGGCTAGGGCTGTGCCATTTTTATTCCTCCCAGTTAAACCACAGCTATGCAGGTTTACCTCTACTATGGAGATGCATGTCTTTTTTAAAAGATAATTTGAACTCTGACTCTTGTTTGAATAAATTGATTTATGTGGTATACTCTCCTAGAAAGATCCTTCATTGCAATATAGGAACTCCTAGCAGCAATATGCCTGAGATTATCTATTATCCTATGAAATCCCTCCTAGTGAATATAAACAGTGTAAACATCTTTCATGTTTTCATGGTCCATGTCTAATATGTCTTTCCCCCTTACTCTACTAATAAAATTATTTTTCACATAACTTGCACATTTAAAGAAGGTAAAATTATACATAAAAGATGTACACCGACTGAAGCACCCACCAGCTGAGATCTGCATGTTGCTGACAACCCCCTTGGATCTGTGGAAAGGGAAAGCCTTGGCCTGGGTGGCTACAGCTTGCATCATCTCGAGAATCTGAGAGATCTAGCAGAGGCTCGGGGTCTTCCCGGTCTTGGAGCTCTGCAGTTGGTACAAGAAGGATGATGTTGTCTGTGACCAACTCTCCCCAGGAGGCAGGTTCCACTGGACAGCACCTCCACTCCTTGGCTGTCTTAGCTGATGATAAGTACCATGGAACCTGCCACCCACTTCCCCAACTTCTCTTGGATTGAAAAAAATACAACCTGGGCTCCAGAAGGAGAACACTGAAACAATGAACTGCTATCACAGGGGAATCCACCAGTGAATAAAGGACAGGCTTCCAGCCCTTCTCCCTGTTCTGCCCTGAAGTCTCCGTGGTCAGGCGTGTTGCTTATCTCCTCTGACAGATCTTTCTTCCTCTCATAACTGATCCTTATCCTTCTCTGCTTTAGCAACCAGCCCAGAGTTACGACGGCATCCACAGGTCCCTCTCTTATCTGAAATCTCTGTCCTCTCACTGGGTTTTTAGTATGGGGCAGGGATAGCCCTTGTGATGGTCACAGACATGGGGCTGAGTCAGCTGCCCTTGGGCACAATGACATAGAGGAGGTCACCACCGTGACTGCTGACTAACTGCTTGGTTCTGTCCATGCATCATTGGTGAGAATACCATCAGGGCTTATGACAGCTTGTTGGCTTGGTCAGGTTATTATTATGGAAGCCAGGAGCTTCTTCTGGGTCTTCCCACATGGGTGTAGGAGCGCTAGGACTTGGGACATCTTTTACTGCTTTTCCAGACCATAGAAGAGAGCTGAATCGGAAGTGGAGCATCCAGGACTCAAATTGGCACCCATATGAGATGCTGGCACTACAGGCAGCAGCTTTACCAGATACAGCACAGCGCCTGTCCCCAAAACTTTTACTATTAAGTCTCATAATACAACTCTTTGAGGACAGAGGTCCTGCATGGGAAGTTAGTGCCCAGTGACTCCTGTTGTTAATTTAACAATTAACACTCTTACGTATGATGTCAATGATCACCTGAGGCTCTTGACATGAGCTGCCTAGGCTATGGAAGCCTTTTGAATCCACAAACTCCATCAGTATTTAGACAAGTCCATATGCAAAGTGGAAGTTCTCTCCTCCCTTCAGAGAAAAGTATATCCTTCTTTGGTGGCCACTTCTTTCCACTTGGGTCTTACCCACAGAGGTCCTTCATGTAGAACATTGTTTTTTGCCACAGTATCTTGGCTTTCCATGCACAAAATGCTCCCTTGGGCTTTTTAGCCAGACCAAAATGCTTTCAGGGTTGATTCTGAGATCAGAGTGCTACTTAAAGGTGATTGTCATTCTGTGTGTGTGCTGTATGGACTGCTTCCCATGTTGGAGCATTTGCTCCTTTTTAAATCTATCTATTATAATTACCAGACACTTATATCATCACTTTAACACTTAATCCCATCCATATGATCTCTATAACACTTAAAATGCTATTTTTACCACTGAGCTTAAGGAGATTTGGGGTTCCATGGCAAGTTTTTAAACTGAGCCCTTTGAAGTAAGTCCACAGGAATGTATACAGAACTATACAGCTTCATAGTTATAAACTTCATACATTTCCCAAATTTAGTATCATGGTGATTCTTCCCATTGTGCTTGCCCTACTAACCACACTCCTACCCCCTTCCTCTTCCCTCTCTTATTCTCTTATTTTTTGCTAGGATAAATTTTCAATTAACTTTATCACATATGGTGAACTCTTTGTTAAGTAGAGTTCAATGATTAGTATGAAAGAAAAAAACTTAAGTAAAGTAAAAGAAAAGAAAAAGAAAAAGAAAAAAACCCTCTTCCTTAATAGTAAAGAAATGGATGTTCAAAGCCATTGCTTCTCAAATTGTCAATATCCCTTCTACATATTGCCTTTTAGGTGCTCTGTTGGTTATCACAGGTCAGGGAGAAAATTTGGTATTTGTCCATTTGGGATTGTCTTATTTCACAGATTATGATGTTTTCCAACTTCATCCATTTTGTTGCAAATGACTGGATTTCATTTTTAACTGCTATGTAGTATTCCATACTATCTTTTTTTAAAAAAATCTTTTATTTAAAAAATATAAATTTCCAAAGTACAGCTTTTGGATTACAGTGGATTTTTCTCCCCCATAGATTTCCTCCCACCCACAACCCTCCCATCTCCTGCTCCCTCTCCCATTCCAGTCACATCAAGATTCATTTTCAATTCTCTTTTTATACAAAAGATCAATTTATTATATATTAAGTAAAGATTTCAATGGTTTGCACCCACACCAAAACACAAAGTGTAAAGTACTGTTTGAGTACTAGTTATAGCATTAATTTACATTGTACAACACATTAAGGATAGAGATCCTACATGGGGAGTAAGTACAAGTGATTCCTGTTGTTGTCTTAACAAGTGACACTCTTATTTATGCTGTCAGTAATCTCCCTAGGATCTTGTCATGGCTTGCCAAGGCTATGGAAGCCTTTTAGGTTTGCCAACACCAATGTTTAGACAAGTTCATAGTAAAAGTGGAAGCTCCCTCCATCCTTCAGAGAAAGGTACCTACTTCTTTGGTGGCCCATTCCTTTCACTGGGATCTCACAGAGATCTTTCATTTAGTTGTTTTGTTTTGTTTTTTTGTTTGTTTGTTTTGTTTTGTTTTTGCCAGAGGATCTTGGCTTTCCATGCCTGAAATACTCTCATGGACTTTTCAGCTGGATCCGCGTGCCTTAAGGGCTGATTCTGAGGCCAGAGTGCTGTTTAGGGCATCTGCCATTCTATGAGTCTGCTGTGTATCCCGCTTCCCATCGTGGATCCTTTTTAATTCTTTCAGTTAGTATTAGCAGACACTAGTCTTATTTAGGTGATCCCTTTGACTCTTAATCCTATCATTATGATCAATTGTAAACTGAAACTGATCACTTGGACTAGTGAGATGGCATTGGTACATGCCACCTTGATGGGATTGAATTGGAATTCCCTGGCACTTTTCTAACTCCACCATTTGGGGCAAGTCCGATTGAGGATGTCCCAAACTGTACATCTCCTCCTTCTCTTATTCCCACTCTTATATTAAACAGAGATCACTTTTCAGTTAAATTTAAACACCTAAGAATAATTGTGTGTTAACTAAAGAGTTCAACCAATAGTATTAAGTAGAACAAAAAATATTAAAGGGATAAAGCATTAAATTGTTCATCAACAGTCAGGACAAGTGCTGATCAAGTCACTGTTTCTCATAGTGTCCACTTCATTCAACAGGTTTCCTTTTTGGTGCTCAGTTAGTTGTCACCGATCAGGGAGCACATATGATATTTGTCCCTTTGGGACTGGCTTATTTCACTCAGTATGATGTTTTCCAGATTCCTCCATTTTGTTGCAAATGACCGGATGTCAACGTACAGAGTTCATCATTCAAGATACTCTGTCATGTCACTGCTGTATGGTACTAAATAGAGTACATGTCCCATAATTTCTTTATCCAGTCTACTGTTGATGGGCATTTAGGTTGATTCCAGGTCTAAGCTATTGTGAATTGAGCTGCAATAAACATGGAGTTGCAGACAGCTTTTGTTTTTGCCAATTTAATTTACTTTGGGTAAATTCCAAGGAGTGGGAGGGCTGGGTTGTATGGTAGGGTTATATTCAGGTTTCTGAGGAATCTCCAAACTGACTTCCATAGTGGCTTTACCCGTTTGCATTCCCACCAACAGTGGGTTAGTGTCCATTTTTCCCCACATCCTCTCCAGCATCTATTGTTGGTAGATTTCTGTATGTTAGCCAATCTCACCTGGTTGAGGTGAAACCTCATTGTGGTTTTGATTTGCATTTCCCTGATTGCTAATGATCCTGAACATTTTTTCATGTGTCTTTGGCCATTTGGATTTTCTCTTCTGAAAAATGTCTATTGAGGTCCTTTGCTCATCTCTTAAGTGGGGTTTTTTGTTGTTGTTGTTGTGAGTTTCTTGATCTCTTTGTAGATTCTGGTTAATCCCTTATCTGTTGCATAGTTTGCAAATATTTTTTCCCATTCTGTCAGTTGCCTCTACACTTTCCTATTTCTTTTGCCATATAGAAACTTCTCAGTTTGATGCAATCCCAAATGCTAATTTTGGCTTTGACTGCCTCTGCCTCCAGGGTCTTTTCCAGGAAATCTTGGCCTGTGCCTATATCTTGCAGGGTTTCTTCAATGTTATCTAATAATTTGATGGTGTCAGGTCATAGATTTAAGTCTTTATCCATGTTGAGTGGATTTTTGTGTAAGGTGTAAGGTAGGGGCCTTGCTTCATGCTTCTGCACATGAAAATCCAGTTTTCCCAGCACCATTTGTTGAATAGACTGTCCTTATGCCAGGAATTGGTTTTAGATCCTTGATCAAATATAAGTTGGCTGTAGATGTTTGGGTTGATGTCTGGTGTTTCTATTCCTTTCCATTGGTCTATCCATCTGTTTCTGTACCAGTACCATGCTGTTTTGATTACAACTGCCCTGTTGTATGTCCTGAAATCTGGTATTGAGATGCCTCTGGTTTTGTTTTTGTTGTACAAGATTGCTTTAGCTATTCGAGGTCTCTTTTGCCTCCATATGAATTTCAGCATCATTTTTTCAAGATCTGAGAAGAATGTCTTTGGTATTTTGATTGGTATCGCATTGAGTCTATAAATTGCTTTTGGGAGAATGGACATTTTGATGATATTGATTCTCCCAATCCATGAACATGGAATATTTTTCCATTTTTTGGTATTCTCTTGTATTTCTTTCTTTAAGATTTTGTAATTTTCATCATAGAGATCTTTAACGTCCTTGGTTAAGTTTATTCCAAATTATTTTATTGTTTTGTAGCTATTGTGAATTGGATTTATCTTAGCAGTTCTTTCTCAGCTGTGACATTGCTTGTGTATACAAAGGCTGTTGATTTTTGTGCATTGATTTTATATCCTGTTACTTTGCCAAACTCTTCTATGAATTCCAGCAGTCTCTTAGTAGAGTTCTTTTGATCCCCTAAATAAAGAATCATATCATC